GATATTTATTTGATTTCACTGTTTCAATTTCCACCCCTTGAATCTCTTCTGGGACAATTTGATTTGTTTTCTTTTGGAATCTATCATGATTTCTTCAGTTTTGCTATATTAAAGGGATAGTTCAACCAAAAATGAAAATTCTGTCATCATTTACATCCTCATTCTTTCTTCTGCTGAACACAGAATAAGACATTTTGAAGAATGTCTAACCAAACAGTTGACGGAGCGCCAATGAATTCCATAGTATCAAGTTATTTGTGGTAACTTGGTATAAAACACACACACACACACACACACACACACACACACACACACACACACACACAAACGAGACAGGAATGCAGGAGGGTCGGTTAACTAATAACTGCGTTTACAGCAGCATGACCACCTGACTATCCAACAGAAGAACATACCGTATCCGGAAATTCCCACACAACACAAGAGTACACACCCGCTAGCGGTAACAACTGGAACGCATATGATTCAGTCTACTACAGTATTAAACCCAAAATACATTCATTACCTACAAAATTTGTTGTTATGGGTTGAACCAAGTAAAATAGCAGGTTACCATTTTTTACAGTGTATGGCACTTTAAATTTGTTATACATTTGGCACTTTAAACAGTTATAACCTTAAGTGGTGGGGGAAATTATCAGATTTGTCCTACAGACATATTTGTTAATCATATTTTTAGAAAGGCTTTATTTTTAAAGGAATATTCTTTGTACTGTTAACCACCCATTACGATCTGATTTCCAGTTAGGTTATGCATTATGATTATATATATTTTTTTGCCCTGATGAGAGTTACTGTAGTAAAATTCATTATAATAAGAAGAAATTAAGCTGGTATTAAAACTCTTAAAATACATTTTTGTATATAGGTACAGAAGGTTATGTCGGGTGCTTCTTAAATAATTAATTTAGTTTTAATTCATTTTTTATTTTTATTTAGTTTTATGAATTAACAGCTTGTAAACTTACTTTGTCTCTAGATTTAAAAAAAAAAAAAAAAAAGTAATTCAACATTAAAGTACACCCATTAAGACATTTTATAGAACCTTTTTTTTTTTTGGCATAAAAGGTTCTTTAAAATTGTGTCAAGAACCAAACTGCGTCATATTACCAAGAAATCCACTCCCCAATTTTTAAAGTTATCAAGAGTTTCATTAAGTTAGGTCTAGTACACATTTTTTGTAAATAAATTAATGCATAAATTTGAGCTTAAATTACTCACAATATTAAGTTAATGTAATCATCAACATCATTAAGTCAACAGCACTCAGCAAAATAATATTTGCCATTTTAAAGTTTTCATTAAGTAAAAAAAAAAAAGATTTTTTAAAACTTGGCTACCATGCAATTATTTAACTTGTGGTAAAAGGTCCTCTGAATTAATTATATATATATATATATATATATATATATAAATATTTAAAGTGTTATTGACCAACATTTGTATTTATTCTCAAAGACATATGCAGCACATGGAATATTTTACATACTGTCCAACCGCTTGGAAACACCAGTTCAGATGGAGCGATAATGATTGGCTAGAGAGTGTCACGGTCCCTTTGACTCGGGACTTTTGAAACAAAGAACCTTTTAGCAACTGGAATATCCACCAGGACTGGACCTTTTGGTTATAGAGCGAATGCATTATGGAATTATGATTGTATTGTGTTTATATAACAGTAGGCTATAGATAAAACCACACATACTGTATGGATCTTTCTGAGCACGTACATTCAGCGGTGTCCTCATTTCCAAATGTTAACGTGTGGTTTCTAATGCGGGTGTAGCTGACTTTGATATTTTTTCTAGGTCATAATGTTTTATGTAACTCATGTCCTAAAATCAGAAAGTGAAATAGGTCATAAGAGTGAGAACAAAGTCTTACAGTGCTCCCATAGCAATGAATCACTTCCCTTCAAACCCACAGCCGTCTCGTTGCACGACTTTAAACAAAAATTATAATGTCACTTAAAAGCATTGCTCTCCATCGTGGTTTTACTAAAACATTCTTAGTTTCTTTTATTTACACCTCCAGGTTTAGAGAAGTTTCATTCTGTGTGACATTTCAACTTGAGTTTCTATAAAAGACACCTATGATGTTATAAAACGGGGGCGTATCTGAAGAATTAGTTAGATCATAATATTTGTATCCTAGTGTTTCTTCTCATCAAACGCTGTGATCTGATCTAAAGCTGTGAAGAGAATGTGATGTTAGAGTTCTTGGAAAGGCGGACACCTTTGACCACTCAATGTTAGTCTAATTGTTAGACTTGATGTTTAAATTATCTGTGTTATTTATATTATTTTGGCCCACACATCATGTCTTAAATGCTATGTAAGATTTAAGTTAATCAATTGATCCAATGCACTTATTGTGTATACGGGTAATTCATCAACTATGCTACTCTTTGAGCTAGACAATTTCAGAAAATAAAAACATTTCTAAAGTTTTTTAGTATCAGTTGGTTTCTCAATCAAGACCCCTTCTCTTTTGGCTGTTGGCTGTGCTGATTTGTATTGAATAATATATATATTTTGGCATTTTATATGACAGCCCAAGAAAACGGTCATTTCCATCACATAACAAAAACATGTTTTGAAGAGAAAATAATTAAATATCTTTTGTAATAAATATATTTGATAAAATTGCACACACATCTCTGATCAAATGTGCAATTTATTTATTTTTCAGAAATGTAACTCTAAAGATTTTACAATGTTTACACTAAAAAACACCTATAACTAGATCACTGGAACATTTAATTTACTTATCATAGCTCAAAATCATGTATTTTTTAAAGTGTATACACATAATCACATAAACACATAAACTGCTCAATTATCAACACCACTGAATAGTTGGTTTGATTGTATGTTATTCTATATATATGTTTTACTTTAATATATGTGTTGTGGTGGTGGAAATGACATGTCATGGCGGAAGAGACAGTGTGTGGCGGAAATGACATAGATAGGCATTTTTCTACTGCTCTATGTGGTGCTTCTCTTACTTTTTACTTGTTGCTTTTATTTTTTCTGCTAGTTTTGTGTTGACTTCTAGCAGTGTGTTTTGTGATGTTCAGATTTCATGTTATCTTTTTTTGTTGATTGTCACAATTGTTGAGATTCATTGGCTGATTCTTGATGTCTGTGTATGTCGAACTGAAGCCATAGTTTCTTTTTAAGTAAGTGAATGATGAGTTTAGAAAATCCTTCATAACTGATTGTGCAGGCTGCTTGATCTTTTGCTGTAATTTCATGTGTAGAAATATGAAATTTAGCTGTACTAAAACGTATTAACAATGAGACCAGGCTGGCTGGTTATGTGCTTTTCTAATTTTTTGTTGTTTTTTGTTTTTTAAATATTGCTATTTAGGTTTCAGTTTTTTTTTTTCAGCTAATAATTTTAGTGCTTTAACTTAAACTTATTTCGGTTTATTGCTATGGCAACATTTCTAATTTTTGTTTAGTTTTCAACTAATATTTATATTTTTTATTTATTTATGGTTTAATCAGATGGGTTTAGTTTTGGTTAACGATAATAACCCAGCAATACCGACCCCTTAACCCACGCTGAAACCTAACCACACCATGAAACCTGGCCCAAACCTTACCCTTATCTCACCTCAATAACAGCAAACAATTTCTTGCACTTATGCAAGTACATATTTTAGTAGTTAAAGACAGCTAATATAAAGCATGACCTCATTTGGTCTTGGAAGTAGATGTATGGGCATTTTAACTCGAGTAACTCAGCTGCCATCAAATAACTACCATTTCCTTCCTCAAAGTTTCAATTGAAATAGAGAATAATTCATGAAAAACTGAGCTCTGATTCTTTGGTGTGTTTAATGTTTAATGAACATTTGCATGACTTTGTTTAGAATATATTAGGAAGGAATTCACACACACAATACAAGTCTTTATTGTGTCCCAGTTACAGTGTAATTATACATTTAAGCACTGAGTAAAGTTAGGAATAAGGGTTGGTTTAGGCTGGGTTAGTTGCATGTAATTATGTATTTATAGTTATTACTATAGACAGTAAATACATGTAACGCGTAACAAGGACTATTTATACAGTATCATCATCAAGTGCTGTGTTTCTACAGGCCAAATATAAATTATTTATAATAATATTTAATATCAAAATTCTATTTAAAAATGACCTTTTCCCACATTGCTCTACCTAATTTCCCCTGAACTTATCTATTTAGTTTATGGCACAATTTTAGTTGTGTTACTTTTTTTGTGCTAAATAAACATTTATTTACGAGCATAAATAAATGATAATTAATATCATTTATTTATGATATTAATTATGAGCTCAACATTTGTTAAATTATTGTACTGTATAATTACGTTTTATCATTGTTTTGGGATCTTTTTAATGTTTAAAAATGTTAGTTTTTTTTCAGTCACAGCACCTAAAATACACAGCTCATCTTGTACAGTGTATTCATACTGTACATTTGATTTTTACCTAAAATCTACACGTCGAGGGAAAAAGTCCATCTATGTTTAACCGGTACAGGATTTTAAACTAATCTAACTTTTTAAATGTTCAGTTATTTAAAGAATTATAATAAAGAAAGTCTATTCTTAAAATTGTATTTCAATTGTTCAATATTTAAATGAGGCAACTGCCTTTTTTAATATTTGTAGCAGTCAGAGTGTTTATGATGATTATACTTTTTGCATTCTATTAATAAATACCAGCTCTAATCAATGTTTAGTAGCTGACTGGTAATTTTGTTGATGACACAATGAAATTAAAAAAATTAAATTACGTAAAGAAATTCAAAAAAGACAGTCATTGCCACAAAATGGGAAATTTAGAGAGATGGAACATCTTACTTTATAGCATATAAATTTAGTCGACCTACTAATATTTAACTCCGTGATTTTCCCCCGTCTTCCACCCCCAATGATGTGGTCTTCAAATTCCCCTCATGAACAGGTATATAATGTAGAATTTGAAGATGCTCTCCATCAACACATTCTCAACATTGCTGCTACTGTCCACACAACTAACTTATCAGATCCTTGGATCACTTTTTATTTAATTTTTCACCGATAATAAGCGCCTCGATTACCTGCCGATATGAGCAGATTCGTCCTGATGTCATCGACGCTGCTGCTGCTGCTGTGTTACTGGGTCACTTTGAGTCAGAGCAGTAAGTAAAACTGATTTCTATCACACATTCTCTTTGATTTCAGGTGTTTTTTCAGTGCATTGAATTCTCAAGTCTGTTCCTGAAATGTACAGCCACATGCATTTTTATGTATTTTACACATTTAGGACGAACACGTTTATTATAACTGAGACACTGCCATGCTTGATAATCAGGACTTTTGAATTGATTTATGATTAATTCATTTACATCTTAACTCAATGGTGATTTGACTAGGCCTTTTAAACTACCAGGAATGTGGATTAATGGATCTTTGAATAAACCTGTGGGAGAGGTTAGTTGGTTATGTGTTACAACATGAACTTAGAGTGTGTCATGTGTTAAGGTCCGGTAAGGTGCTGTACCAAGTATTCATCGCAGCCTTTACCTGTTCACCGGCTGAAAGACTTCACTCGACAGGACAGCACCATGACCTGCAACATAGAGGCTGTCATGTGAGTAACAACGCTGGTTCTGTCTTCAAATAACATTTCTCTGATATTAATGTTCTTACATGTGAAAGAACAATCTGTGGTATTAATCTAGAACATTCTCTTTCCTGCAGATTTACTACGGTAAAGGACAGACTGATCTGTGCTAACCCTGATGATCTATGGGTTCAGAAAGCCATGTCACATATCCAGTGAGTTCAGCATTACACTTAAAGGAGCTGTATGCAAGAAATTTCACTAGACATTAAGAAATGATTTCCATTTCAAATACTTATATCACTGACAACAGTAGTCCGGCCAGGATATTGTCATTTAAAAATTGAAGTCCCCTTTGACTGATGTTGATGTTGTCAAGTTGTGTTTTGTTCTGATGCTCCACCCTCCACCGATCTACCAATCACGGACTCAGTAGTGTTGCGACATTCGGGTTGCCAGCTCTTCTCTAGTTACCACAGCTGCAGATACACACGTGTCGGAATAGCTTGTTTTCACGTGATGTCACGCCACTGTGTTGCCATGGTGCGAAATGCAGATGGAGGGCAGGAAGTGAATTTCTATATTTAGGAAGCACTATAACACACTCAAAATGCCTATGTTTTGCGTCGTTTATGGTTGCTCAAATCGATCAAACCACAAGGAGTTTTTATCGTGTGCCAAAAGTTGTTGTTCATAAGGGGGGAAAATACAAGAAATTGACAGAAAAACACTGGGAAAAAATGCCTTGCAAACCTACGTCTGCGGTCGGGACGAGCCGAATGGGAAAATGCCTGTGTGTGTGTGTGTGCAGTGATCACTTCGTCAAATGTGAGTTAATACATTATTTACAGTATGTGGCTTATAATTACATTATTCAGGTGTTTAAATACACTTATGTGGCTGTTTGTGTAACGTACCAGTTTACAAACTTTGTAAAGTCAAAGTATGTAAGACGAGTTAGTTTCTGATATCTACAGCCTTGATGGCAGGCAAATCTCTCAATTCAGTTGAAAATCGATCCTCATCATAACGTAAGGATGTCCAACATATGTTTTGATTTTCTGTTTATATATTTCTCTTGTAATAGCGTCTAAAGTAGTACATTACGGATTTTCCTCCATCTCATCCATTGCACTCTTCACTCCTGCCCTCTATCTGAATTCCATTCCGTGGAACCTGCAGCATATCTGGCAACCTCGAGTCATGGGGAAGGCAGGGATACACAATAATTTGAAAGTGATTGCTTGCAGTACCAGTTTTGGCCACAATCTTGCATACAGCTCCTTTAAATTTATGTTTCTTAAAAACAGCAATATATTAAATGGTAGTGAACACAAAATGTACAACCTTAGCTGTGAATATGACTAAATTGGCAAGTTCAAGCTTTTGTAATGTGCAAATGTAATTATTTTTTGATGTGCTTGTCTCCTAATTCTGAGCTGAAGTTAAATCTTGAGAAGCCTCTCTTAACGGTTTTATTTTGTTTCTCGCAGGGAGAAAAAAAGGAAGTCAGCATAATGTGGACACCATCAAATCGGTCTAAAGTTGCCTTAAATTGAACAAACCAACAGTAACATTAAACAAATTGATTACAATTCATTTTTTTGTTATTAATTAATAAATAAGTTGAAGTTTTAATTAATAAATAAGAATAAGTTTTGACAGCAACAATTTGTCGTTTTGTTTTGTCTGCTAATGTTTCAACTGCAACATTTGAATGTTTGGGAGGACACAAAGTAGACAGTAGGTGGCAGCATGTGTCCACTTGCCAGCACCCCAAAATTAATCATTGAAAATTAGTTTAGTGCTTGCAAAATCATCAATGTCCAGCTTAATTACTTTGGACATTTTAACCAACCATTCCCAGAATGTCAGACTAGAAAAGTACACGTCTTCAGGTCTTACCCTGCATGCACACTGTAAAAAAATATTGTTGTAACTTAAAAAAATAAGTAACATGGTTGCCTTAAAATTTTAAGTTCATTGAAATGGAAAAATTGAGTTAATACAATGAAGGAGATTGATTTAATCATCAGAAACTCAAAATATTATGTTATCTGAACTAGCCTATACATAAATGATCTAAGTTGATTTGACAAAAGAAAAAATGTTGTGATTACAAATCATGAAAAAAAAAAAATTTTTACAGTGCATGGTTTTCCACAGTGATGTGTGTTGAGTGCACGCTTTACTCATGAGGTCTAATAAAAAACGGAATACGGAATAATAAAAAAAAAACTAAAACATGCTTGTGCCATAAAGCATAGGCTACTGCATGTTTTTAAGTAATGCTGCTTTTACATGAAATTCCACAAAAACAATGGGGAGGTGGGATGCCGGAGAAATGTCATAGAGAGGCATATTCCCTTAAAACTTGATTGACAGAATTAGATGAACGAACTCCTACAGAATTAGCTACATTATGAACTTTATAAAGAATGTGTATAATATGATTAAAATTAGCCTACATCACATTGTCAGAGTGAAGGGAGAAGGGGGAAAAGAGAAAAAAACAGAGAAAAGATCAATTTTAACAAGAATAAAACGTTATGTTTTTTTTTTTTTCAATCAGTGCTTTATTTAATGACATAATTCACACAACAAAATCATGATTGCGACTAGCCTCACTTAGCCAGACCTTCAGACTGACGGCAGAAGCTATTTTTAGAATAATTATTTTGGTAAGAACAAATTAAGAAAGGCTATTAGAGAGATATGTGATTAATATGTTATGTTCATTAGAACAATGTGTTAATGCTTAACAGAACATGGACAGCAAATTGTTACAAATGTTGATGTATATAGCTACAGTATGTACACATCATGTATAGCCCAAGTCACAATTAAAATGAACTTTCACGGTTGATGCTGTTCTGCTTTAAAGTTTTATGATTTAATTGTCATAACCCGATTCATTAGCCTAATCAATGGGTTTAACCACTCTTCCAGAGCTCAGTTTGCACTAATAATTTATCATAACCTTTTTCCATGAGGAAACGGATCTGCAGCTTACTCAATTGTATTTGTGCTGATAAATATCAAAAAGCTTGGTAGCATACCATCCTTAATTTTTTTCAAATTGCAGGCTACAGCATATTTATATCCATTATACGCTTCATTGTTTTTTGTGGCTCCAATAAACTGTAGCCTATTTGTTTAAAAGAGAAAACTTTATTTATAATTCCTATACAATAGGCCTACATTTTAGGCCTACTTACTTTTATTCATCATATATTATCAGAAATAACTATTTTCTTTTACTGTTTTGTTTATTATCTCATATTAATAGTCTGTCAGTATCTTTTTTTAATTTACCACGAAAAATAAGTCGTATAAGAATGCTAAAATAGAAAGAAATGGGAAAAAAAAACGCTAAAGCCAAGCAAGGTGCGCTGTTCAGATGAGCTCCAGTAGGTGGCGCGCCAGCTGCTGCAGTTCCCGCCTCCGCCCCGGATGACAACGCTGTCCACGGCGTGCGCGTCCTTCCGGTTATGGGATGAAATGCCTTGGTGTTCAGTTCAGATGCAGTGTTTTTGTTTCTTTGAACCTATTGAGTGTGTTTCAACTACCTCAGGGTGACGGCATACGATTTCAAGGTTGATTTAATTTAATTTTATATGATTTTATTTGCCTCTTTTGTCATTCAAACCCGCCAGTAGCATGACTAACGGGTTATATCAACACAGCTGCTGACGTGACATGACGGTACGTCTTGATGAATTATGATTAATGCTGCTTACTTTGATGCTTGATATCTGAACAAGTGTGTCACTAAAACGGTGTTGGGAAGCCAAAATTCCCATTAAAAGTCGCCTTTAACGCCACTGTAACGTTAGCTTAAAATTTAAACTGGAAAACATTCACCAGGACAAATTAGTTTTTAGGTTACTGCCTTCTTTTGATATAACGTTACTTCTTTGACTAACACTAACACATACAGTAGTCTATGCAGGAACAAGCAAAGGCAATGAAGCTATGATAATGTTCTTACTGAAGGAGTCTTTTAGAAGACTTTTAGTTTTAAAACGCAAATCGTACTCAGATTATCACAGGTGTGCTGGTTACTTCTAACTTTAGCCTTTCGTCTATTAGGAGTGAAGTCTGTCTGGTTGCCATGGAAACGGAGACTGAGAACCAGTCAGTGTTTGTGGACCTTGACTTTCCAGCTGATGATTCCTCAGTCTTCTGTGATTATACCACGCCTCTCTCCAAATTGTTGAGTGATGTCACATGGCTCCGCCCACAGGTAACACTCTTTCACAAATATAGCAAACAGACGCATTTCCAATGAGCACAGATGAAGACTTTTTTTACTGATTTAACTGATTTTCATTTAGGTTGGCGTTTATCACTATTTTAAAAACTCCTTGACATCAAAATGAAAGTTTTGTGGCTTTTAGTGGGTTAGCTTTAAGACTTACAAACAATAGGTATTCTTCAAGTTTATTTTATTTAGTATACTTAAGTAAAGTTCAAGTATACCAGTGTTTCCTCTAGGATTTTTCCAAGCTGTGGGGGCAGGCCCATTTCCCCGGTGGGGGGGCCTTGTCTCCCCAAAGTATTATAATCGATCATGCGCATCCCGTGTGCAGAATGATGCACTTGAAGCAACACCAAGTCACAGCAAGCAATGCTTCACATTGAAAAGAACATAGCGAAGGGATTATATCTATAATATGCTTAGTAGGGCTGGACGATTTGGGGAAAATGTCATATTGCCATTGCAATTACTGAGGTCAATATTGCAATTGTGATATGCGATTCCGATATAATAAAATGGTTTCATGAGTCCAACTTGCTTGGTTCTAAAGTAAAATGCACACACAGATTAGTGATCATTCTGTGTATTAATGTTTATTTCTCAACTCAAACTACAGACAACAACTAAATGATTGATAACACCTATAATGATCAATAAACCATCAACCAAACCATCATTACAGTGAAAGCTATCAACTTTTTAAAAAAAATTATTAGGCTAAAAAAAAAAATGTAACAAATTTTAAATTAAGTGAACTTCAAACAATCCCCACATAAACCCATAATAAAAACCATATTTACCTGTGCCCTTCCTGTCTTAACAGGTAGGATACAGAAATTGAATAAAGTTATCAAACAGTATGTGCTGCATGAATTATAAATTATATATAGAATAATCCTTATTAAAGCTACAAAAGTTCTTTAGTCAAGATCAGTGAGTAATTTTCTAATTTCCCTTTGTTCTTTTAACTTGACTGACATAACGCTTTATTCGCTGCTGGCCCTTTAAGAGCACCCGTTGCCGAGACGCGGATCTCACATGCGCCTCATAGCACAACTCTTTTCGTCCTTAAGACTTTTCTTACGTTATGAAGATACTCGACAAAACGACATTTTGGCATAATTGTGTGTGTTATTGTTCGTTCAAGCTCGAAAGAGAACTGTAATCTGGCACGCGTCAGTGCATGCGCATTATGGCGCGCGTCTTTCTGCGAGTCTCATTTAGGGCATTCACAGGCAGCTTTTCAGTTCTTGTCGTGCAAAATGCGAAAAGGCATTTGCACGAATAAGAACAGGATCGTGTAACACTAGTCAAAGGATGACAAAAAAGAAGAGATGCTGCGTTAATAGCCCTAATTTGTTTATTTCATATAAAATCGCGGCATTTTGCGTTATATAATTGCATAGGTTTGAGATCGCTATTACGATTGCGATATGATTAATCGTGCAGCACTAATGCTTAGTGTATTCTATATGCAACAGTTTTTTGAGCCTTTTCTTTTAACAGTTTTAAATTTCAGTGCGCATGAAGAACAATAGCACTCTCTCGACTCCATGCTGTAATCTTACATAAAGGGAATGTGAAAGGTATGGGCAATAAACTCCACTCCAGCAAGATAAAGTCATTTTATGAAAACCATAGACCTTTATGCTTTATCTACAAATGAAGTATAATAATGGGAATATTGACCTTGAAGTGAGTGTCGTCGTGTCGCAAACGAACGCGACGCGCTGTGTGAATTCTGAATGGAGAATGACTGAGGCGAGATGACTTTCCGTTAACTTTAACTTAGCGACTAAAATTACACATTATGCAATGACTTTAGAAGTCTTGGAATATAGGGTGAAAACTTGATTGTGCTTTACAAAGTTTTTTATGCCTTTAGTGGGGCTTAACAAAATAACATAATACTATGCAGAATATCAGACGTCACTGAGAAGCTGCAGCCGTGGCGGGAGGATTTTAAGTGTGGCGGCCCGCCACGGGAGAATGAATGTAGAGGAAACACTGTATACTTTATGTAGATAGTATACTAATCTCAATGTACTAGAAGTATACTTGTTAGTGTACTGTTTCAATACTACTTGGGACTAATTTTTGTATATAAAAGTATACTTTAAAAAGTGTAACATTAGTAAACTTTGAGTAGCCTACACATCTAGTTTACAACTAAGTTTTTCTTTTGTACTGCAACTATACTACTAGTGAACTTATGTGTATACAGATAGTTTACTAGCCAAATACTTGTAAGTAGGCTAAACTGTAGTTTAGTAGTTTTATACTGCAAGTATTCTTTAAG